GTGTGTGTGTGTGTGTGTGTGTGTATGTATGTATGTATATATGCATATATATATATATATATATATATATAATCACCTCTTGTGCATACGCGTGTGGTTCAGCGGCGATTCTAAGAAAATATATCCAGATGTAGCAATGTACGTTCTTACGAACAGGTCAATGCTTATACGAACAATGGAGGTCAACTGCGTATGTCCTTGTGAATTCTCCTATATAACACACTACACACCAACCAACAATTCTAAGCAAAGCGCTTTATACCCATACACGGCCACCCCTTTCCAGACGGCACATTGTGCAATGACGACATCACATCGCCAGACTTGTTCAGTGCTCGAGGTTACCTACCGATTGCTCGTTGCGGCTCGCCTGCATATCAGGCGAGTGCTCCGCAGACGGCGGAGATATGTTCGGTGAGCTCACACTGGACTTGTCGGCCTCCTCTTCCTTTATGACTTCCCCATCACTGTCAGTGCGACATCAGCGAATGTCAAGCGTTAATTTATTTTCGATGCCAGTAAAGTTTGCATACAAAGGCAGAATCGCCACATATCTAGCATAATGTGCCGATGCAATCCCAGGAAACAAGTTCCAATAGACGAGCTACGTGAGATATCATACACGTGTCCACCGTAGCATACAAACGCGTTCCTACTATTTATACTCTGAAGGTGTGCTATTCCTAATTAGCTAAACCCTACCTCGTGACATGCATGTGGGGATAGGATCTCACAGACTTCGACGCACCCATATTGTTAAGAATTGCTATGCTCGTAGCGGGACATATGATTTCTCGCCAACCAAGCTCACAGAACACTTGCGCCACAGCGATGAACAAATCTCATATACAAACCAACGCCACACAATCACCAGGCCGAATGGACGTTTGATATAAAATGGATAGCATACTCGTTCCAAACTTAAAACCACGCTCGAAACAAGTGGCAAAGCACGCACAAGGCACTCCACATACGTATCCTTGTTCTTCATTATCGAGGGCAATATTTTTTCGAACCCCTGCGCGGCCTTCTTCTCGTCCTTTTCAGTGATCTCGCCCAATTCAGGCGCTCCCTCATACTCGAGCTGGGTCCACCTACGCATCCACAAATGAAGGCAGCGATTATGAGTAGACATAATAAGATAGCCAGTGTAAGTAGGCGAAGCTTGAAATTTTTAGATGGGTGAGGCGCCGAATGATTGAGAACTAAACCACGAGCACTTAGGTACTCGACAGTGATGTGACGGCCGATTAGATCAGACATAGCAAACTACTTGCTTGACGTATGGTTAGCATCCACCGTGTGCGTTGGGGTGGACTCTGACGGTGATTAGCTTGTGGCCTACATCTGCAGTACGTGTCAAATACGAGATATACGGCATCAAAGTATACAGTCACGTCTCGCCCCCTACCACAAGAGTGTGTACTGCTTGAAAGTCGAGCAGCCTATAGAACCTGCACAGGTTGGTATGTGTAATTCGACTAAGTTCATCGCGATAAATATGCAGGAGGAGGGGTTTGGAGTTCACTGGGAAGAAGTACAGTTCACTGGGAAGAAGTACAGAAGAGAATACACAGGTCTGCACGATTCTGGCCCATCTGTAGAGTCGCCGTCCAATAGCCAATCCTCAATGTTTCAACGAGCACATTGACAGTTGCTTATAAATGTGTCAACTACATTGACAGTTGTTTATAAGTGTGTCAACCCTGACCCATCTCTCTGGTAGCCGTTCCGTCACTACCCCGCGCAGAACATGAAAAGTTCTAAAATATCCAATTCGCAAGGATTCACATACGTGTGTGGGTGCATACACCGTATGCCTACATTCGATTAGACATGTAGTATATCACTTACCTGCATACACCCCGCAGAATGATGAATATCGACTTGTCCTTGCTCTTCAGCGATAGCGACTCTCCAACATCGATGAACACCTATGACAAGCGAAAGAGGAGGATCAGGTCAAGTTAGTATCATGCTGGATAGATGGCATCATGTGTATTGATCACTGCGGATGACGACGTGAGGCTGCTGACTTACCATTGGTGGTGTAACCACTGGCGACAGCCAGAAGGTTACCATACAAATGAATGTACTTCAACTGTGAAAACCAGCCCATCGTGAGCCGTGCTCTCAGCAATACGAAAACTCGGAAACATCCATAGACACGCGTATGTATGGGCATGCACTTGTAGGCCATATCTTGTGGTGGAAAGATTCAGCCTGCAATACGCATCGGCACAGCATTGCAAATAAGGCACCGAGAACTTGCATACGACCCGAGCACAATAAGCGGCCACACAAAAAACCTTCCAACCACATGCATGTACATGCCATGGTACTACTCATCTTGCGATGATCATGGTTCACTAAACCCTAAATCGCAATAGCATGCAGTGATCCGACCTACCTTGTGGTGGTTAAGGATGATCGTGATCCGAACTACCTTGTGATGGTTAAGGATGACCATGGTTCACTAAACCCTAAATCGCAATAACATGCAGTGATCCGACCTACCTTGTGATGGTTAAGGTTTAACTTGTAGTACGCCTCGGCAAAGCACTGCAAACCTCCAAACGCCTCGAGAATCTCCTTGTCTGTGCTGGCGTCGGGAGCGTAGATACGCTGGCGCTTGAGATCTTTGATACGTTTGTAGATCAGTTGACGATACGCCTCAAACTCTGAGGACTCGAGAATGCCTTCCTCGAGACCCTCGCTGTATGACATTGCATATATACACACACAGGTACATACACACAGGGGGTGATGGGAACGTTTGGTTCAATACAAGAAGGACTGACATGATCCAGATTGCGACGATGCATTGGAGCCGCAGATCTATTGACTGTAGCACACGTCTTCCGAAACAATGCCATCCCCATTTGTACGACAAAACGACATGTGTGCAAAATGGTATCAGAACGTTATGGTACCTTAAATGTAGCACTAGACTATATGCAGACTCTGATGCTACAACGGCTTTTGAAGCCACTCGTACAAGGGGCGAGCACGCTGCAATAACAAGCACGATACTGCCAGGCACCTGACAATACTACAGAAGCCGATCACAGAATACAGCGACAAAAATGCAAGCCATGATGTCGATAATTGACATACGTGATTTCATGCAGCAACATTTTAAGGATGTGGAACGTGGAGTGCTGCGTTTGCAGCGAAGTGATCGCCTCAGGAGCCCATCCGGTGATAGCAACCTACGCAGTGGATCGCGATGACAGACAGACATTAGCTTATGAGCATACCCCCAATTGTGTGTGTTGAAATTAGAGTCGATGTCAGGACGTACATGAGTATGTATATAGCAGCATGCAGATGTGTGTGCTTTTCGGTGTCAATGATGCGTAGTGTGGTGTATGTGCGAGGCCTCATGAGCGCCCCATTGAGGGAACAGGCAATAGCACCATGAGCAGCACTCCGAATCGATAGGTTTATGTACAGGAGTATAGCCAATGTGTGTACCACGCTGTGCGTGTATACTGACGTATATGAGACTTGGAATGCTGTGGCTTTGCGATGTGATCGCACCAGGGTTTTACCTGATAGTGACAAGCTGTGCAACATATGGAAACAGCGTGTGCCGCACATGGTAAGCTGTACCAATATATGACATTGTGTGAATTGCTATGTATGTGTGGTGTGCTGCGTCTGTATGCTGTGTGCATACGTGAATGCATAGTGCTGTGAATACGTGATATGATCGCCTCTGGAGCGGACTCGAATATAGCCATGTGCGCTACAGACTGTGACACTGTATATACATAATACACCCTTAACATTAGTGCAACCTGTATCCGGATGTATTCAATATACACTGTTGTCTCAGAACCCATGAACGCCGAAAAGGCCCGCCCAATTATAACGCCAGGGGAAGGAAAATAAGCCTAAATGAATTCTAGAAACTTGAACGATCCTGAAAACATTCAAACTTGCGCACCTCATGCCATGCATGACAAACATCACACCGTTCCATAAGCTTTCCATAAAGCACATACTAAATCCGTATGCGCGTCTCTAGTGATCTCTTCGATCTCATCGCGCAGCGGGTCAGCGACATGTCCCTCGGCATGCTCTAATACAATTCTCACCTCTCGCATCGCCTGTACGGTAGAAGTGTCAGTTAAAAGTTGTGACGCTCTGGCCTGATCACTTGATTGTGAATACTTAGAACCCTGTCTCCGGTAATACACCCCCTACGACATGGAGCTGTGGTCGCATTCATGACGTGATATATGATACCTCGAGAACGCGATATAGTACACCGACGTTGATCCTGCACTCGCAATGGCGTTATTTGTGACTCACGTTCGAGAAATGGACAACACTGTGTGTATGAGAGTGATGGTATATAGCACTGGCAATAGAACCATTAACCAGGAACATTGCGAAATCCCTGTGACTCTGCTGCATTTAACTCTACTATACTAAACTGGTAGTGGAAGCGCAAAAGCATACATTGATGCAGTTTTGAAACGAAACAAATGGTCCAAAGCCTTTCAGGCCTACCCGATGAGAATTTGTGGCACACGTTCATAGAACCGATGGAAGACTGGGAGTATTCTCGGACCACGATAAATACAAGGATGTGAAATGCGCAAGCAATACAAAGTCACGAGGAAGGCCTTTTCGACTGTAAGTAGATGCAAAGATACGAGGTATGGGCAGGGTCTCCGAGGGTAGGAGGTGGACGTTGATCTGAGGTGCGTGCAGAGGCGCGTGCAGAGGTGCGTGCAGAAGTGATGGTTCAGTAGGATGAGTTGGTGACGTGTCCGGCACACTGGCCATTCTATCACGCTGCGATACTAAATAGCGACCCCCTGTAGTCAGATTGAATGACTGAACGACCACATGGCGGCGATAGCGATTTAAGACAGATACGACGGACCGGCAGATGAATAGACCTGGATGTATGTACACTTAAAGATATGGAGAAGATACAGGAAAATTCGAACCCTGTTTCAGTGTTGAAGTCGGGTATTACCCAGCCAAGATACAATTCGAAAGGCTGTTAACATATACCCAGGACGCAGACCCCAAACGTGCGAAACTCCAGTGTTTGAAGTCAAGGGCATTCTACTGCGTATGTATACATATGGTATTTTACCTGGATAAATGCGATACATCGCTGTAAGTAGGTACTGATATAGTAGTATGTAGCCCTTTGGGCAGCCCAGCCGAGACCCGGTACATTCCGCAGTTTCCGAAGGAAGTCGGGTTGGCGTACGTTGCCTTTTGTTTTCTCCCACAGATCCGCCAAACTGTAGAAAAATTTGAATGCATAATGACAATCAAGAAGATTTTAGTCGTACATATACTATCTACATTAGCGGAGGATTTTCAGGCATGCCACCCGAGACACAGTAGACTTCAAGTTAACTCTATAGACGCAGTGCTTACGCGATTGGAAACAGGCAGTAAGGCTAACTGTCACATTCATGCGTGGGTGATAAAACGCACAACATTAACTGTACTGCTAAACCCGGATCGACTCGCAAGAACTCTCACTTTGCAAAGTAGCGCCGATTTAAACTCCCGCAATGAGCCAAGTGTATAGGATAACCAGAACTGGTCGAAAAGGCTGCAATATAAATTGTGCTGTTCGTACCTGTCAGTATCAAGGTCGCCTTCTCTGTTGAGAGCATCCATCAGAGAATTATATGCGTAGGTGTTTAAAATCCGCTCCTCGTAGAAATACCTGAGAATAGTCAAACGTAGCCGATTTACAGTATGCAAGCATGCCCTGACGTTCGGTCATAAAACGGGCTGATGCCCATGTTATGCATGCACTTTCACGTGTTTACACAAATGAAGCTCTAGATACTCTTTTTCGCGCCAATACATCAGTGCGTGTTAGGCATCTTGAGAGAATAGCGACACCCGGCAGTCGCTGATACTGTCCCCACCACACAAGTAAAACGCAACTGAACTAGTCAGCCTGCTCAATGCCAATTGCGCTCTCACAAATACTCAAGCAAGTGTGTACTGAATGGGCCTCGCAAGCGGAAAGCCGAGTGATCGCTGGGAGCACGGGCCATTTCCTGGTCACTCTACAGCAGATTCATAGCACGCAAAACTATTGTGCATTTGGAATAGAAAGCAAAGAAGTGCCAGCGCATCTAACCGCACCGTAGACATTTATACCTTGTAAAAATAGCCTTCAGTGACGACAGGAAGAGCATACGTAATTCCTTTCGTTGCTTTTCCGAGGCCTGTGTGTGGGACAATGAGTGGTACGTTAAGTGCTTGCTGCAGTGACGCTATACAACCGAAAACTACCGCAGCCGAATGTACAATATCTACCGCTCACTTGGGCGAAATTATATACACCCAGATTGCATTGCACGTTGTCGCGCATTGTTGCATGTGACTAGTGTATAACTAGCAGATACACAACACAGATACAAATCCCGCGGAAAAGATCACGCGATGTGGTCTAATATTTGACTGTGTGGTCATTGCCACGGCGTGAGGCGGCGAAAGTAAGAAACTAAGACACAACCTGCTTTTAGCGGCGAGAGTGGGGAATGGCATGTTATAGGCAACTAGGATGTGCGATAGCTTACCATGGGCGTGACACCCGCATCGGATTCAGAAGCAGGCGGCAGATGCTGCGCCGCTTCTATATCAGCCTCTCCATCCGCAGTACTCGCCATTGGCACGGTAGCATCAATAGCCACTTCTTCGTAGCTGTCTGTACACACACATGCAGAACGATGGCAATTTGTAAGCAACACAGGAAGGGTGGAGGTGTGTCTACCGCAGGACATGGTGTACAAGTTGTGCACCACGTGCATGGTCGTATCGATAGCAATACTTCAGTACTGTCTATAGAGGCAAATGCAATAGACAATGATTTCGTTAGCAAACCATGGATACTTGGCGCGGGTGTGTCGCCGTTGCATTGTGTATAAAATCTGCAATCGCCTGGAGGAAAAACTATCGCACCTGCCTCCCGTCTGTCACAATGCAAGATAATATAGGCAGGACAGTCGCGTAGCCGTCTAAGTTCGTCGCGAACAATACTACATACTTGATTGTGAACTTGTACCACCATTTTCAAATGTATATACTATTGCCAAGTATGTCCAGGTAGATATGTGTGGATGCACCTGTGCCGTATATGCCTGTGCCGATCGATTTACATTGAGGACATGACAATGCATCGATGACAGTCCAAAGAAAGGTTCAGAGAGGCAAGATAGGAATCAAATAGTTGTGTACCACATTGTTATGCATATACATTTCCATAGGCATTCATTCAAAATCGTGTCGCTGCGAACAAGTACCAGTACACTTGTATTTGTATACATCAAGGCAGAGGGCTCTAACCACTCAAAGCTGAAAATACACCACCTCGCGAGACTATGTCAGGTAATAGATTTTCAATGTCAAAAACTCCCCGAACAACCCTTCAGGAGACATTCGAGGCTTGTCCACAACGGGAATAAACATACAAACATTTAGTTGCAGTACGACGCTTTAGCATCTCAATACAAACCTGCTTGAACATCTCTCTCAATGAAGAAGTTATCCAGGTCCAAATTGTCATTGACTTTAACCCAATCAGAACCCTGGAAGAAAGGATCCGCCTGCAGATTGTTGATGCTCTCGTAGACCACCTCTTGCGTGTGGTCGATGATATTGTCCAAAATCTGAGCCAATGAGGTGTGGAGGGATCAGAGAGAAAGCAAACAATGCATCTAACACCCACACATGTGTGGATATATACAATACCGCCGATATATATCTATGAAATAAAATAGCTTGGTCACTGTACTCTGACGATGTGGACAGATTGCTCATGGCTACGTGTGGCATTGGGATCAACCAAATTTGAACTCTTGGGATAAAATAATAGAGTTTTCGGAGGAAATGTATATACATACGTGAAAGCATCACTCATGTTCGTAACATACCTGGTATCGCTCAGGTGTGATTTCTCCCATGTGGAAAACCTTTAATAGAAACTGGGTGGTGGATCCATTCACCAGCAGTGTCAGCCCTGTTGTGACAAATTGTAAACACAATGATTAGCGTGCAGTTTTGGATAGTTTCCGGTCACAGACCCCCAAATCAAGCTAACTCTCAAATCAAAATATGTGTGCATGTACAATTGAAACCTCTTCTATCAGATTGATGCACCCTTGCGTCACATGATATAACGGAATTGGCACATTGCTGCCCAAGAATTGTAGAGCACTCGCTAGGAGCTAGTTTGTCAGTGATATCGGCACAAAACAATTAAATAGCTTCATGGGTATGTACTCTGATCACGTAAATGGCGGGTGTCGCTTGACAAGCAGCTCCGAGTGGTATGTGACAATTCATTCAAAAATTCTACACTATCATGATTGACTTCCCGCTAGCACGTTTTGAGGGCACATCGCACGCCAAAATGCAGCCCCTAAAGGATAAAACAAATACGCTTAACACGCCCCACTTCGTACACAGTCTTAGCGTTAACAAACGACCGAGACGTACATAGTGGTATGATTGCACCGCCCAACAGCAAACAACTGACAAGTGTTTGTGCTTGCGAGTACAACATACCGACAATACCGCCGACCAAGAACATAATACGCGTTCGATCCGCTTCGTTCACCTAAGAAATTTTTATACACTACATATGAGTTTGAATTTGAGCCTCTTGCCGTGCGTGTTCTGCGCCTGTGCGGTTGAGCTATCAAATGTGTTTCAACGACTTTAAATAGTCTCGACCCCACCTGTGTACTGCACGCCTGACTAAATGGAGTGATGGTCAATGCAGATGCTGTCAACAGATTCCATGTGCTCTAATAGTCGATTAAAATGGATTCAATGCATATACACATATGCGTGTACTCTATGCTTCTCTTTCAGAGCACAAGCTGATCAACTGTGACTGACTGAGATGCCTCTAATACTAGTACAATCTTGGAGCCCAGCTCAACCTCAAAAGGTGACAAATCGGACACTGAAAATTTACTAGTAACTCATACATGGAAGTTGGGACGCAGCGACTGACCAATCAATGCACAAAAACATGGCCTGACTAGTACTCAAAAGATGGAGTTACAAATTTATCCAACATATTCCAACATTCAACAATATAACCCCAGACAGCACAAACCTGCGCTGTATCCTCCACGATAAGTGCAAGAGCCAGTCCAATCGCCCCTCTGAGACCACCATAGGTCATGACGGTCACCTCGCCCCAGTTTAATCCATACCCACTCAATCGTAGCACTGGCATCAGTACTGCAATCGAGATAAACCGCACCACGTGCAGAACAGCGTAGAGCGCGAACAGGTAGCCGACGTCCGTGGCACTATTGTGTGGATTAATTGGAGTGCGAACAATGGGTGCAAAATTTTTATTAGTGGTGATAAAGTTTAAACGAGCAAACGACACACTTATAACATGAGCGTCTATAATATAAGAGTGCATACAAGAAGTGTGGAAGGTGATTGTAGATACAGTTTGAGGCGTGAACAGTGGGTTTAAAACAGTAATGACGCGATATGCTATCGCGCAAATAAAAACGAGCGCGTGTGCAAGATTTGGGTGAGCAAGGCTAGTATATTTAGTTTTGGACGAACGGGATTGGGATGAGGGATGGGATGAACCCAGCGCCGTGCAGACAACCATACAGCGCAAAGAGGTTGTGTGCGTGTGATCAGTTTGAAAAGCTTGGTGTGTAGTGATCATGAACGCTACTATCCATCGTAAACAGATAGGCAGGTACTCGCTTTTGTATCGCAAACGACGTGCATATTCAAATAAATGATATTTGAATACCTACAAACACAAACAGGTGCATACCCACGTGAGACCGAATACATACTCCAGAACGCCTCCGCTGTTGAAAAATACGCGATCTGACAACACCATTCCAGTGATGACGAACAACAAGGTGTTCGCCCACCAAGATATCAGTTCCCACACCCGGTGTATGTACTCTTCACTTTCGAGGGAACTATGGCCAGACCGAGAAAGAAAGGCAAGACGGAAATGAGATCAGAGATTGAACGCGAACAAAGCACTGCAGCGGACAACTGATCAGACGCACTGTGATGGCTGAATATATCAGGAAGAAGTCAGCACACACCAGATACGGATAATACCAACCCGCGTGAAAGATACGGGGCGCCGATTGATGAACAACACAACACACCTCAACATGGCCTTCCCGAAGCGGCCAACGAAAAGTCCGAGGAAGACTACCCCCAATACACTCGACACCTGTGGTAGCCAACGATTGATGAAAGGTATATTTTAATGTGTTCGCAAATCGATGCTGTGGGTTGTTTCAGTGCGCATCTATATTCGCGTGACATCGTTCATAACACACTCGGGACGGTGCTAACCAACTAGTATAGCTCGTAATTTGGTGTCAATCCACGAACCCGCGTGGAATCTATAAGTTTTCGAACAGCTACATTGGTATGGTATGAATTGTGCCCGAAATGAAATACAATTTTTGTTCGCTTAGAATTTCTATCGACGGTGCGTGATCAGCAAGATGTGGTGGAAAGACAATCCCGCCAAACACCCCCTAAATGTATCAGTTGATATATAGTCTTTCATGACAACTCATACTGCCACCGAAACATAGTGGGGATTCATGGACATTATTACAAATCATGATCTGCGCTCATAGTGCGCAAAATATACGTCACATAGGGAGCAGCGTACATACCTCCACGTATTCGCAAGTCCAGAAGCATAGGTATGGAGCGATTATAGTGATGGAGACCTCGATGATATCATCGAAAAAAGTCAGGTCAAGCAGGATGATGGTCTGAAACAGCACCAGATTCCAACAAACCAAAAGATAGCATGGTCAGAAAGTGAGCAATGTTTTTGTTTAAAAATACATCAGCACTGGCGTAGAATAGTATAAGCAAGTATAAAAGGTAGATAAAACCTTACGGTCAGAAAGCGGGTGGGATTAGAAGCGTGCAAACAATGAATGACCTCCTACGTGAACACGACATTAAGGTGACCTCTAGTCATAGACTCGAACACATCATGGGATATTCTGAACATTTAGATTCGATTTAGACATGACCACTGCAACATGACGGATATAAATATACAGATTAACGGATCTCCTACACACCATAATGGCAAATGCGATGCCCATCAGTGGTCCTCCCACCGCCAGCTGGAGAGTGAATGTGGCAAATTCCCCCGCGTTTCGCTCCTCTCCGGGACATGCTGTCAACTGATCGAGGAACAGCAGAAAGCACACAAACGCCTGCCACAAGTAATGTAGGGTACCATCAGCACAATTTATGGGCACGTTTGGAACCGTGAGCCATGAACCTACGTGCTTGTGTGTATACGTATGCAAGTCACTCCATTCCGATGTTAGAGAATTGACATTTTCAAAAGCGGTGCAGCTCTGCATAGCTACGCACAAGCTACACACTAGCTACTTGCCCCAAATGCTGGCACACAAACAAGAAAAACTTGATTGTCTTGCACTAGAATAAACTCCGAGTGGTTGAAGTTTCGGGCCTTGCATCCACTCATAATTTAGAGCACACTTGCCCCCAAAGTGAGTATCCATGCCAATTGCATATCATAGTTCATCAATCGATACAGCGTTACTAAACGAGTCTGGCATACATACCGATCCATCGTTTAGCAAAGACTCTCCTTCAATAAGTGTGGATAACCTCTCACTCACGCCCAACTCTCTCAGTAAGGCCACGACAGCGACAGGATCAGTGGCCGCGAGAATAGAGGACAGCAGCAGTGCCGTAAGCCAATCCCACTCATACTTCGTGAACGCGTAGAAGCAGAACGTCGATGTGAGACCGATGACAATCACCACGCCGACCTGTGTGGAGAAACAATCCCGGATGCAAACGACGAGAGGAAGGACGAGATTTACCTTAGTAATAAGTAACGAACAAGGCCCTCACCAGGTTAATGAGAGCAGCGAATACGCACTAGCATCCTATGAATTCTTAACTATTGGTACACGACCTGAAAGACTGGTCGAATAATGCGATAAAGATAAACGACGACAGTGATTACGCACATGTGTGATAATATGCACCATGCTCATGTGACCTTTAGTTTGTGTATTTGTGTGCATGCATATATACACATGTGTGCGTGTATGTTTACGTGTCGGCACGCATATTTGCGCGTGTGTGCACATGTAGGTATACGCACCATCGGCATAAACTCCGCTTTTTAGTACCAAAACTTCGCTTCATCATAATTTTATCCAATTAACGATAATTTTCGACAGTGAAATTGGAGACCAGCGATGAGGATTAGTACATGCATGCATGCAGCTTCAAACATCGGGTTGCCATTCGCAAACATTGATAACCATGCTGAATGCTTCTCGCACTTCCACCTGTGCAATCAGGCCACCATCACATGACAAAGCATACACTCTAAGTACTATACGTGCATACCACACTACAGAGTCTCCCCTCTTAACGCCACGGAAGCACGGCGCTACACACGACAACCTTTCAAATCGAAAGCGTAATGACGTGCAATTAATATATCCATTTCGTCAGTTTTGAACATATATGATATGAATTACACCGTGAAGTCTCGTTCCCAAGAACCAAGCTGGAACAGATGCGGATACAATGCCTTACATGTGTGTACTATCCATATACACACTCACCGATGCTACGAGAAAGGCGTTTGCGAACACCACTCGAAATGTGTGGTGGTTGATTGCGTATGAGGATTCGAAGACCAGGGCGGGGATGAAAACGTACAGAATGATGTCCGGGTGAATTTTTACCAAGTAGCTGAATGCTATTGAAAGATCGCCTGTGTGAAGGAAGACATTATAAATCAACTTGGTTAGAACTTTCTCTTATAAGAGGGAGCTTCAGCTTGCTTGCACAAGCTTGATTGATCCACAATTCCAAATTCCAAGTATGTCCAATTAACGGTTCAAAATATTCGAGATACTTCTCATACTTTACTGTGACCTCGTTTATATTCAAGGGTTTCCAACCTGATAACTCGTAGATAACTCGTAGATAACTCGTAAAGCATGAACTTACACTCGCATCATACAGGCAACTTTTTAATATTGCAGTGAATATGCACATATGCATAAAAAATATGTGAACAGATACATGCGAGTATATCGCAACGTGTATAGGTATACATTTGTATATATGAGATACCTCAAGTAACTCTTCCAATACAGATACAACGTATACTCGACATCGAAAGCTAGAATATTTTTATTCAGACATGTAACCTTCCAATACACATATATAGTATATGTACTCAAAATCAAAAGCTAATCCATGATTATTCAGGTATGTGTGTGTATATGCTGTACCAGACATACACAAACGTACATCGTCAAATGGTAAACGAGTTATCTATTAAGGGTTCTCACGACCAAAAAAACATTCGCGAGGGATATTTTTATATTAGCTTGAATGTACATATATAACGCTAATGCGTGAAACAAACATCGGCATACAAGTATATGTGGACGTTAACTGGTACATTTCAATAACTACAAGTACATATTGGTATATACATTATAAATCAATACAAGAACCCCTTACCAACATATATATCACATAAATTAGCTTAAAAATTATAATATATATATGTGTGAACACGCATGTATAGTAAGTAGGCAAATGCAAGTATATTCATAAAACGATGTCAAAGTCATCGAATAATTAAAGTTTATGTGCGTGTCCATGAATACGTACCTTAATGTACAAAAACATACACGTACACATATGCGTGCACATATATGCACGAATATTTCGTAAAATGATCGTCTACGTGAGTATACCGAACAACCGTAGATAACATTTCTATCCGCAGTTCGCAACAAGATCAGGTCTATAATGATTTTCATGCATCCACTAGAAACATACCAAGATCACCGGTTTCTTCCCCTGTTGCTTCATAAATCAACCCCCAGATCAGCCCTACGATTAGCATAACCACCGTGTAGGGGAGAGGTACATACTTCTTAATCGCTGGGATATTCCATATGTTCCTCACCAAAATACCCCAAAACACAACAAAAGTGACGGCGAGAACAGCATAATGCGCCGTGTAATGTTCTTCCTCATGCGTTTCCGTCCCGTTGGCACTTTCTGCAGCACAGTACGTTTCATTCGCCATTCTAGCAACTTAAAATCTTCACTTCATGAGTGACACACAGACACAGCTAAGACTATTGCACGTAAATAGCAATTAATTTCCTATCTATAGCACCATTACACCACACAAGTGAATCCAACCCTCATTATGTGGTAGTTCAGCATATACGTTTAAAATGTAAACGTATAAACTTTTGATATTGAAACATTATAACATATAGGTAGGGCAGAGAAAGGGTCTACCCTACTTTGAACGTAAACGTACAAAGCTTTGCTATTCTTCTTTGAGCGTTATAACGTATAGGGTAAGAAAGGCCCAACTTACTGATATACATTAGCGGACTTTATGTGGCAATAGTTATCGTATATTGCACCTCAGAATCCAAATATCGCTCCCTCATCAATTACAGAAACAACCCAAAGTAACCGTTTGGGATTGATTTTATACGTCTAGTAACGCAAACGTATTGAGGTTAGAGTCATGATTCATAATTCATCAGTCACCAACTCACCACTCGTAGTCGCGTAAATATTCACTTCTAAAGTTCTAAATCATAACAACCTAAATCAGACAGTCAATTATGAATCATCGAAGTACAAACATGATTCATGGCCCACCAATAGTCATCATGTAATTTAATAATTGTTTCTGATAAAAAGAAAGTGATTGGGCAATGTGAATTTTAGGATGAATGAAAATAGTTATTTGTTTATTTAGATAATTTTAATTCGAGGGCTATGACATGTAATGTCAACCATGTTTACCTCCGATTTAAAACAATGTTGGTGTTGTAAGTACCGAACTGTTCGGTAATGTTCCTGGGCGTTAATAAGAGTGCGAGAACTTCTAAGTGCGGGCGATAACTTATCAGTGTGAAAACTAATAAGTTTGAAAAGTTCTAAGTTGTTTTGTGCGGATTGTTGGCGAACGGCCGCGCAGGCTCGAAAGAAGAGGAAGTTGGTGTATGATTGGTGCTTTGCGAACCGAAGTGCGGGGTAATATGAGCTGGAGGTTGGTAGATGACGATATGTGTTGAATGGACTTGTAGGCTCGAAATTGAGTAGATACACGATTTGATTGGCGGCAGGATTCTCAAGAAAATCCTTCGGAGATAGTATAAATACGTGGTTTAGTTCATTCAAGAAAGCAATCGAGTTTCTGCTTGGTATGCAGTTTCCCTGTCAGACCGTATCTTGTTGTAGAAGGCTTTCGCTAGTGTTGCGCTTCTCTTTGATTCCTTTGAATTTGGCTGTATCTCGGTAACACATACTGCAGGTGCTTGTGCTGTCCCAGTCTCTGATTGAGACTTAGGATTTAAGAGTGGAATCTTGGATTCCTCAACCTTCTATTTGAAAGTCTCGGATGGTGTCCACTTGGTTGTTCCAACTGGACCTATTCGACATATAAGAGTATGTCGCCAAGGCGTCTTTTGGACTGCACGGGTACCCTGGTAGAGAAAAGGATATATCCACATAGATCGGCTCACATTGTATCATTGAGATCAACTGTGGTAGCCATTTATCTGAGTGTCTTAGGAGACAACACAACGTGATGGTAGCATCTTGAATATGTACATAATTTAGCGACTATGGTATTAATATGAATCCGTCTCCTTTCGGATGTTCCAGTGCCCGGTACCTCGGCAGTTGCGCATTATGATAAGCGGCAAACATATCTATGGTATGTGGTCCATGTATGTTGTCTGCGATCTTAAACCACCTAGGATTGACCATCCAATCCGTAGCTAGTAGCTCCCTAACCATCCTGTTAAAGTCTGGTACGAAGCGAGACAACATGTCGGGTAAGTGTTGTGAATACCCGGTATGTGTGTTATGCTGAAAGAAAATTTTACGATCGTGTCATGCCACCGACTGACTAACTGTGAGTTAGGTTTCATGTCCTTTGGGTGTTGCAATGACTTCTGATCACATAGCACGTTAAAGTGTGTGCCATATAGATAGTCCTTAAAATGAGTGAGTGCAGTAACAATAGCCAAAGGCTCTTGTTGCACGGTTGGGTAATTGATCTGAGATGAATTCATAGCTCTGCTAAAGAACTGTACATATCTCGGTTTCCCATCAATCATTTGATACAGAACGCCGCCGAGTGCCATGTCGGATGCGTCTGCTGCTACCATGAAAGGAATATCATCCTTTGGTGGCTGGACTACTGGTGCCTGTTGAACCACTGTTTTGAGCTGCTTAAATATGTCATCACAGTCTTTGATCCACAGTGTGCCTAGTTTGCCTTTATGACATCTCAAATCTCCAAAGGGCTTTAAATAACTTGCCAGATCTCCGCCAGACAAAAAGTTGACGAATCCGCACATGCTGTTGACATCCTTACCCGTGGTAGAAGTTCTCCAGTCTAGCAAGTGTTCGACATTCCCGGGATCGATAATGATTCCATCCCCGGATACTCGGTAACCCAACAGCTGAATCTCGTTAACACCGAAGTGACATTTCTTACTGTTGACCTTAAAGTTGTGCTTGTTGAGTCTGTCTAGAACCTCTCGCACAACCTTGTCGTGCTTCTCTTTGGTTTTGGTGAATACCACAATGTCATCAATGTATACTTGTACGTTGTCCATGTCCCTAAACAAGTCTTGCATAATTTGTTGAAAGAACGCAGGTAACATGTATAACCCAAAGGGGGCACCTTTAAACGAATATTGCTGACCCTCCCAGGAAAAGATGAAATACTTCCGGTGTGGTTTGTAGATCCTCATCTGGTGGTAGCCCTGCTTCAGGTAAATAGTAAAGAATATCTTAGCTCCCTCCATGCGCCTGAGTAGTTCGCTTATCCTTGGTAAGTGAAAATTGTGTGTCGGTATCAAATCGTTATTTGGGCTCATATCCAAACACACCCGAACTTTCTCCAGCGTCCCGTCAGAGTTGAATTGGTCGACGGCTAAAAGCGCTAGGTTGACGGGAGTCGGCTCATAGTTGACTGCGATCACTCCGTCATCTAACCATGCTTTAACCTGTAGATTCGTGTAGGATACTTCAGCTTCGAGAAATCTACTCTCGTCAGGTCTAGACTAACCGTTATTGAATTTTAACTTAGCCCAGTCCGTGATCCGAATCTTGTCATTCTCGAAAATCAAGTCCTTGAGTTTCTCTGTAAAGTGAGGGATCATCTCCTTCACAGTCTTCGAAGGTTTATATACCGGTTTCAACAAGTTGTCGTCCGACTGATCCTTCTGTGGTTCAATGTTAGTAGGTAAGCCTGTAATTCTGATACCTAATGACAATAAATCACCCATACCTACTATGAGATCATAGTCTGGTGAAGTGTTACATATGACTGCCTTAGTAGCTGTAGTACGTTGGTCTGTCAATATAAACCTAAGATCTATTGCCATTTCTCTGCAAGTGATCTCTCTTTCATCAGCCAGTTTCAACATAGTTGGCTCTGACTTACGAGTTACGTCTGTCATTTTACAGAATCTCGAGGATATACATGAAATTTGCGAGCCCGGATCTAACAACGCTTTTATTTCATGTCCGTTAACTCGTATGTCAAGGATTAAACGCTCGTCTTGAGGTGCGTCCTTTTGTCTTGGTGACAAGACCCGGTATGTTTGTCACTTAACTTCAACTTTTGGTTTCACCTTGCATGTATGCTTGTGGTAATCTCCAGTCCCGGTACAGTCGGTACACTTCTCCATAAAGTGCTTACACTTTTCTGCGTGCCTTCCATTACATCTGCCATTCCGCACATGTTGGGTCATGTTATTCGCTAATCGCAATCAGTCTCGCTACAGTTTTTGACCTCCCTATGCCTGAGCTTAGGGTTGCCTGCCGGCGGTCCATTTCTGTTGGTCTGGTTACCCTTAGGGATGACATTGATCTTGTTGCCTTCAGAACAATTTGTATGTTTGTTCTTATTGCCACCCTTGTCATCCCCTTTGTGTACCTTCTGACCTCCATTAGTGGACTGAGAGTCTTGACCATTGCCTGATCCACCGGTAAGATTGCCGCTAACCTTCTTCTGAGCATTAGTGACTTTCACCACAGAACTAGAGCGCTTAGTAAACGTCTAATCGCTCTCGAGTAAAATTCAGCCCAGGTTAGGTCCGCTAGCTTCATTATGCCGTAGGAAGGTCCCTCGATGGAGATCTCTCGTAACTTGTCCGGGTAAGACTGATGCATATCGGCGTACTGAATCTCTTGATCTCTCCTATGTAGGTTTGACCAAAAGATTGTCTGCACCCATAGTACACACATGGATAGCTTGTCAGGTGACATCTCCTAAGTCTGGGCCCGTGACATGTGTGTGTTCAACTCTAATAAGTAGTGGTACACCGGCGTTCCTTCTTCCGGTGGTATCATGATCGATACAAGCAACTACGGTCGAGGGTCCGTCGAAAATAAGTGGACGATCAACTCACTCTGCTCTTTCCACGTTTTCAGCTTAGTGATCGCTTGTTTCGCCTTCTCTAACTTGTTATATTTGTAAGAGAACGGCTTAAAGCTCTGCTGCGCTGCTTCGAACCATAGGTTCTTCCGTATATTGGCGGTAAGCATAATCTGTCCAAACTCTTTCAAAGACCTAGATAACAACGCCAGACTGCTAGTATCGATTGGATCCTTCCGGTCCTTTTGATCATATCTGTATGTCGTAGTAGTTTACCTATGTCCTTTACAAACTTCTTGCCTTCCACAGTCTTCTCGGTCTGAATCACTCTTAGTTCTGAATCAATCTTAATCTGGAGATGCGTAGCCATTGTCATATAAAAACTAGCGGCATCAATCCTACCTAGATCCATCGCCTCGAGTGAATCTACCTCAGCCTTGTTCATTTGAACAGTGAATTCAGCAATTTTCATATCACTACTAGAATGATCTGATCCCTTCTTTTCTAACTGCATCTGACCATGCAGTCAGTTGTCTGCCTCATCCTTTGATCCATCGACCTGTTCAATGTGAATGAACGCTTCGGATGGGACAGCATCTTTTGTCGTCGTTGGGATACTCGATGGGGTCGACTGTCTTCCGATGACGACAAGGATTTTCTAGCTTCCACCTGATCAGGTTTAGGCTCTTCAGTCGGTTAGTCCTTCGGAAAGTGGATTTGAATTGATTCACGACATTGCTGTTGCGTCTCATCCAGGAGAAGAGTGAGTTTCGAATTATGAAGATCGGATTCTGCTTGCCCCTCCATTGTCTGACAACATCTTAAACGCCATTATGGCTTGATAGAGCGCCAAATGGTTTAATATCAAGTCGGGAAGGTCTACAAGAAGATTCCAAATTGAGTACCAAATTAAATATGCAAAGCTTTCATCTCTCCTAGTTCCAAATACCTTCGGCAGTATCTTTTGAAACTGACGTAAAAGTTTGCGTGCTTGCTTACCTTCGTCAGTTTTCATTAATAGTAGCCGATTGTAATATTTAGAATCCCTAAACAAATCGTACCCAAACTTTCTTACCGCTGCATTCATCACATACCTCGGTGAGATGGTACCATCGGGTTTGGACTTCATTACGTCCGGAAAGTACGTTCCATACGTACTCCGAAACACCCATGCCCTGTTAGCCCGCTGTCGTATCAACTCTCGTTGACCCTTCTCCTGAATATCAATCTGAGCCTGGTATGGATTTTTCTGTCGCCAAGCCGGTCGGAGTGGTGTTTTGGCAATACGCAGGAATTGTGAGTCAATCCTGCTGTCCGAATCGTCGTCCTGACGCTGAAATGTCTGGTCCACGAAACGCAGTTGTTCTTCCGATACGTTGATTTGGGGTTGATCCAACAGTGGTTGTGCTGTTGGCTCATCCTCCGAGTCATCCTCCCCTGATTCAGCAAGACTTTGATCCTTCGCTGTGGCTTGCTTTTTCTTCCGCTGCTTAGTAGGTCTCAAATCATGTACCATTGGTTGGTAATCCTTCAGGAAGGCTCTCCTATCCCTTGCTATCGTGTGATAAGTAGGATCTCGCCTACATGCTTTGCGCGTGTCCACTGGTGGAGATAATACATCTGATTCCAATGCATGTCGCACTTCCTCGGAAGTTGAATTTTCCAAGGATTACGTTTCCTCGGCTTTTCCCTTTCGAGATTCCGCCTTCTTCGCTGGTGGCTTCTGTGACTCCGTAGTCACATTACCTCCTGATGCTTCTACACCCGAGTCAACCAACTTCTTACGTTTTCGTTTAGTCAGATTTGGTACCGGTTGTATCGGCGTGGTCTCAGTTACTTCAGACTCCACTGATGATGCCGGGGGTAAGTTTTGCGTTTCATCGCCTACAGTAAACCAATTCGCTTTTGTAGCCTTAGCTACATTCGCTGCCTTATTGTTTCCTTTCGTCATAATATCGATAGCGTTTTATAAACTTAAAAATATGTAAAGGTCGGTCTCCTCTAGGCTGACTATACGATACCAAGACGTTTACGTTAATAATACAATACGTTAAACGTTAGAATGCAAAATATTAAATAAGTTAGCCTCAGCCCTTGGTAGGGATAATATTATTTATTTCAGAAATGGCAAGTATGGATGATACAATGTATGAACATATGGTATGGCTCTCATAGTCGCTGTTATAGGTTCAGGAAAGATTGATGGGAAGAAGTGGTCAGCGTGTGTTCGAGCGTATATGATTAAGAAATGTGGTGTTATGCCAGGTTTCAACCACACACGTAACATCAACCTGAATTAAAATCGTTATAACGTTCAAAAAATTATCTGTATGCGCTGCGTTGTCCATGTTGAGTCCTTGTGGGTTGGAGAGCGTCATCCTCATTGGTCCTAACATTGTTTATCATCGGTCAATACTACTGGGCTCTCCTCTTTGACGGTGTCAGCCATTTCTGTATCATTACCTGTCGTCGAAGAGTCCGTCGTGGAAAGCTGAGGCTGCTTATTGCTATCCATCGTGTCGGATGATTGTGTCGGGGGGACTGTTGGTATATGAAGTCGTCCAGGTTCCGCACGCGCTGATTCTTTAGCGTTTACTGGGATTCGCGGGTTAAGTGAAAAGAGGTTTGCATCATGCTTTGCTTGGTAAGCCTTCTGGAGACGGACCGCGGTAGATTGGAGGATATCTGCGTTAGTGGAGTTGACAAGTGGGCTCAGTAGTGCATCCATGCTGCGGTCCTCCCGCTTGGTGCGGAGATAGTGAATTAAAGCTGCTTTCGTAGCGTCGGGATGTTGTTGGGAGCGGGGGTCGATGTTTTTATCAAGCTGCCATTTCCACATAAGTGCTGCATGTCGTTTTACCTGGGCGACAGAGTCGCTAGGAACACAAAGGCGGATGAAACTGGTGGAGCTTCCGCGGCGATTTGGTTGAGATACCGATTTAGACGGAAGATACCAGAGAAAGTGTTGGCGATTGAGGGCTGGTTGGGCATGCCAGTATTTTTCAAATACTGATTGGGATGGGGGCTTGCCGTTAGGGAAAATTGCTCGGAAGAAGAGCCATACCGGAGTCATGTCATCCATTTCATGAAGAGTTTTGTCCGGCATCGGGCGGCCCACCACTTTCGTCAAAAGGTGTTCGGGTACTGGCGGTTGCGATTGGGACTGAGAAGCTGGTGGGGTCGGGCGTTTTTTAGGGCTCGGTTTTTCAGGTTTGTCCACTTTTGAGCGGTAGCTGGGAGGCTCACTGCTGCTATTGGGCGCCTGTGACCGCTAAAGATTAGGGGATATTAGACTGAGACTATTGTCTATATGCTCCGCTCTAATCACTCACTACTTCGGTCTAGATTTATTTATGTTTTAGTTACTAAGACTAGATTTTATTTCATTGGACGCATAGTTTACGTTTCACGCCTCGAAACAATTACGTAATCAAACTAACCAATAAAATATCTCTACGTCCAACTTAAGAAAAGAAAAAATCAAATCAAAACACCAAGTCGGAGCAGTATACATCTACACCTAAACCCCATCACTTGGTACCTAGCTCCCCATCCCATTTAAGGAAAAGACGGACACATCTAGTTGGCTGGCTAGGAGGAATCAAAACCAAGTTGTTCTAAATTCTAGCAACTCTGATCCTGTCCTTTTCTCAGTGGATTCTTGCTCTGTGATTATTATA